CACTTTGATGGACGCGTCCACCTCGCTTGTGCTGCCGGTCCAACAGCCCAAGAGCTGCCGGTGCAACAGCCCACAAGTGCTGCCGGCGCAACAGCTCACAAGTGCTGCCGGTCCAACAGCCCAAGAGCTGCCGGTGCAACAGCTCACAAGTGCTGCCGGCGCAACAGCTCAAGAGCTGCCGGTGCAACAGCTCAAGAGCTGCCAGTCCAACAGCCCAAAAGCTGCCGGTGCAACAACACTTCAGCAGCTCCAGAGGTGCCGGTCCAAAAGCAACTCAGCAGCTCAAGGGCTGGCGGCCCAACAGCTCCGGAGCTGCCTCCGCGCCTTTGAAGCAACTCGCGGGCGTTTTGCAAGCACTTTGGAGCCCCTACGATTGCAGACCTACGGCCTCCAGCCTCAAAATTGGCAGACCCTCAAATGACAGAATTCTGACTTAGGTCTTCAAACAAGGCCTGGAGCTATCACAGAGTGGGAGTTGACAACACCCTCCAGAGAGAGACCGGGGAACAAAACATAAGCACCAAGACTAAAAGAAAGCCGCACCTCTTGTCAAGAGGGCTTCCAGCAAGTCTCAACTCAAGGATTGCAAACTCAAACAAGCCGCAATCACCAAACAAAACAAAAAGACGCCACACGAAATCGACTTGAAAGGTTTCTCACACGAAGCCGCTGTCTGGAAGGTTCTGCGACGGAAAGAAAACGAGAGCAAACCAAAACAGAAAGAACAAACTCAAACAAAACGCAATCAATCAAAAGAAGAAGAAGCTCACAAAGAGAGGCCAAAATGAAAGGACAACAAGCTCAAGAAAAACGCAGTTACCAAAGAAAAAAGAAGAAGCCACACGAAATCGCTTTATGGGGGTTTTGCAAGGAAAAGCATCAACGCCAAAAGAGCAGAAGTCACACGAAACTTTGATCAGAGTTTGACGCGAGGCTCTAACTTGGACATTTCAAAGGCTCCATCCCTTGCGAAGCTTTTAAGAGGACTGAGACACTTTGCGAAGAGCTTTGAAGCTCTCCCTTGAAGCCCCTTTAAGCTCCCTTCGAGACCCTAGTTGCGTTTTCGTTTCAACCAATCAAGTTGAAACTTTCTGCATTCTTACCAAAATGGAGCAGCAACCCTTGTGGTGGACACGTTTTGGAAGAGTTTTTCGGTCTGGAAATTGAGTCCGTCATGTCGGCCATGCACCTGTTCTGGTTGAGAAAACGGGCCATCACGGCTGGCAGGACGCCACTTGAGGCAACACCTGCACAAGTTCCTATTTGGAAATGAATTGGCAAGGATGATTTTCAGGATGGTTCGAATTGACGGCAGCCGTAAATCCGACCAGTCAGAAGGGTCCCTCGCCTTCGGACGAAGGGAAGGCCTTTCAGTCTTGGGCTTCTTTCCCTCAAAAAAACTCCATTGCGCCCGTACGACTTTCCGTCTGAGTCGCCATAACGCATCCAGCGGCCGAACTTTCGGTGCTTAGAGCCACGAAACCGTTAGCAAGCCAGAGCTGAGACCAGAGACGGCTGGCGTGTGGCCTCAAGACTTCCAAATTCCCACCTTGCCTCGAAGACGACGTTACTTCCAGCTTGATGCGACTGGTACTTGAGCCCAGATCTGTCACAAAGCCTGCAACCAGGCCCACACGGCGCGAATACACAGACTCCAGCCAACACGCATTAAACGGAAAGCCAGCTCGATGCCACAGAAATCTGCAATTTCGACCTTTGAGAAACGAAGTCCGCACAATGTAGCGGTGATTTTCGCACCACCTTACTTCAAAGAGATCTGCAATTTTCTCATTTTCGGACTGCACGCTGTTGTTGTCGTCGTCGTCGTGGTCGTAGTAGTTTTAGCAGGTAGTAGCAGTCGTAGTAATGGTAGCAGTTGTAGTAGTAGTAGTAGTCGTAATAGTAGCAGTGGTAGTGGTAGTAGTAGTAGTGGTAGTAGTAATAGTAGTAGAAGTAGTAGTAGTAGTAGCAGTAGTAGTAGTAGTAATAGCAGTAGTAGTAGTAGTAGTAGTAGCAGTAGCAGTAGCCGTGGTAGTAGTAGCAGCAGTAGTAGTAGCAGTAGTAGTAATAGCAGCAGTAGTACTAGTAGTAGCAGTAGTAGTAGTAGTAGTAGTGGTGGTAGTAGTAATAATAGTAGTAGTAGTAGTAGCAGTAGTAGTAGTAGTAGTAGTCGTGGTAGTAATGGTAGCAGAAGTGGTAGTATAAGTAGTAGTAGAGCAGCAGTAGTAGTGGTCGTGGTTGTAGTAGCAGCAGCAGCAGCAGCAGCAGCAGCAGCAGCAGCAGTAGTAGTAGTAGTAGAGGAGTAGTAG